TATATATATATATATATATACATGGAGGGGAAAAATAGATGAATTTGTTTATTTTGTTTTAATTTATGACCAAATAATTTTCATTAATTGGGAGACTGCATGCATTTAAACCAGTTAATAATGCCAATTTAAATATCTCGTCCTCACGCCCATCCGCAAAAGCGGAAACCAAATCGTCTAACTGTTCTAATAAATTCCTCCCCTTCTTCCCATTCCCCTCTCTCTCTCTCTCTCTCTCTCTCTCTCTCTCTCTCTCTCTCTCTCTCTCTCTCTCTCTCTCTCTCTCTCTCTCTCTCTCTCTCTCTCTCTCTCTCTCTCTCTCTCTCTCTCTCTCTCTCTCTCTCTCTCTCTCTCTCTGTCTCCGGGCATGGCGGACAGTGACTAGTTCATCTTCTATCACTGCTGCACGAAGTGTATGATCGGTTCCAACTTATTTCCGAATTACTCGCTTCAGTTTTGCATCTCACTTCCGTTCCGTTTCTTTTGACAAAGAGTTCATCGACCAGTGCTTCTTAGGTCAAAGAATGGCTACGATCTTCACCTAGACATCGCGTTCTCGACTATTTCGATATGGGCTTCGCCGTCGGAGTTTCTTCCAGGCTGAGAAGGTTCTTATTTTCGCGGCAGGTCAAGGAGAAGAGTCCGGATGACTCCAAGGTCGTTAACCCTGGACCTGGTTTTGGCCCAACGGATTTCGGTACGATTCGTTTCTAGTGATTTATTGCTGCATAAGTGGGTTATTTTGAAGGTACTTGAGGTCTATTTGGTAACTGATTACTGTTTTGCGATATTCAGGTAAGGGAAGGAATTGGGGGTTTATGATGCTATTTTCGGATTCTTTAAATTAGTTTTTATGATGATTCGTTGTTATTTGTCTGAGCGTATTACAGATTCCTTTTCCTGTTGTTTTTGTTTTACTATCAGCTTGTTCTAGCCATCGATTAATCAGGTTGCATGAATTACTATCAACTGGTAATAGCGACTAGAACACTTTTTCTTTTTTTTTTTTTTTAATAAAGGGATTGAGAAAACATTGGAGTGGTTGAACTGCTCTCTTTTTAATTTTTGTTCACCATGGCAATGAATTCTATGATCGCTGTAATTGTATTACAAAAGAAAGAATTATTGACATCTGCTACTGAAAGTATTAAAATCAGAGTGGCTCCCATGAATTCGATGGCCACAACTGGCATGCGATGATTATTTACTATTATAATATTGTTTTCTGAACTTCACTCTATTTGACAATTACAACAATACTTTTTTTTTGTTAATTACTATCTTTTTTCTTAATTATGTGTTTCTGGTGAGATTGCCAAATGTTTGTTTGTTTTGGTGAGAATCATTGAATTTATTGGTACTTTAATATTATGGATGCATTATGGCATTATTAGGAGAAATTTTCTTACTAATGAAGCTTGTCTGGTAAGGTCTTCTTATGGTTAGATAAGCCAGATTCCTGTAATTGATTCCACCTATCATGTATTTTAGATGAATAAAAAATCCTTTCATTTTCTTAGAATTATATAATCTGCTGGTTTTCTTATAAACTGATAATCAATAGGAATATTTACATGCATGCCACTCAATTCTTATGTATTTACATGTCTAACCTCTAAACTTAAATTTTTGAATATATCATATATGCCTCCAGGCTCTGTACCTATGCATGAGATGTGTATTCAACTTTTTAAAATTTAAAATAGTGGTATTTTCTTATGTGATATGAATGATTTTGGTGTTATAAGTGTAAAAGTCAAAGTTTAGGTGTTAGATAAGTAAATACTTGAGAATTGTGTGGTATGTATGCAAATTCCCCTAATTAATAATGACCATTTGTACCTCCTGGTTGTCTTTTTCTGCTGCTTTCTGTTATATTAGCTAGATGCTGGCTTCTGATTATAACTTATTAACAAATCCAGGGTTATGGGTTTTTATCATGGATACAATATTTAGGTTTTCTAATTCCCAGAAATGAGATTGGGCTATGCAGAACTGGAAGATAACTGCATGTTGTGAGGATGATTCTAATTCTTAAAACAACTAAGAATGTGCTGGCCAATCATTAATTTCAATATGCATTTAAAAAAATATACTTTTTGGCTTATTGGAGTAATTTATGAATAGTGAGATTCCATAACACTTTTGTAGCATTAGAACTACTTAGTTTTTTGCAAACTGGTTGATATTTTCCCTAGTAGATTTGCTTCCTCTTTACTGCCTATTGCTAGCTGGTGAATATGTTCGAGTATTTATTTTTCTGTCGTTTGAACTTCATTAAAGAGTTGCTGAATTATAAATATTTTAACTTTTCTATTGGTGAATGTTGAATTTATTGATTCATTTCTTCATGTTGCCTTTACCCGGCGATTTCTCGCCATATAGGAAGTAGACAGGATATGTTCTTCGACTCACGGGGGTGGTTGGATTCTGATTGTGAAGATGATTACTATAGTGTTAAAGGAGGTAGATTTTTTATCATTTTGATTCAAAATCTTTCTTTCTTCTGCTTATGAACTCATTATATTATATTTATGATCTCTTTTGTTTTATTTTGTAAAATAAACTTTTATTTTATGTAGAATTCACTCCTTCTCGAGGTAGTACCCCAAACCGCTATTTTGGATCTTTGGAAACACCTCAGAGGAATGGCAAAACATTCGATGATAACCCGTTTCCTGATAATAGATCTGATGCTTCACCCACCGAGAAAAAGAAACTCTCGGAGCTTCTCCAAGTCTCATTGAGTGAGCCGGTAGGCAATGAGAGCAAGTTTGAAGATGTCGGAAAACCAGATGAACGAATAAATGGCAAAACGAATATTGGAGATGCTGAAACGAATCAACTTTTAATTCCGTTCAATGAGACCGCGAAACCTAAGAAAGAGAAGTCGAGTTTAACTGCTTCATGTTGCATTCCAGGCTTGGTTCCAGGCATCGCCTCGAGGAAGCAAAAGACGAGCCCTTCACATTGAGAAGTACGTAACAACTTTGATTCCGGAGTAGGTTTTGAATCCTTATATTTTTCTTTTAAGTTTTAAGGTTGAAATTGATTAATGATCTCCCCATTTGATCGAATATTGAAATCGATATCAGAGTTTTGTGGAGATATTTGTATAGAGGGGGCTTTTTATCTTAACCCGAGCATATGTTTGTGGAGACCAAGTTTGTGATAATTACTTTTTGCTTGATTAAGATTGTTTATATGTCAATATTTTGTTACAATACTATTGTTGCAGCAGAGTTTGGAGTTTTGTATGATTGAATATGGTTTATTGTTTTTTCTATAAGGCTTAGATTTTGGATAGGGAGGAATCACAATCGTTTACATATGTTGAAATTAGCACACATTTTCCTTGCCAATTTATGAGAGGAAGATTTACATGCATGTTACTTAATTCTTACTTATTTACAAATCTAAACTTTTACCTTCTTTTTGCATTCATACCAACCAAATATTTCATATCGCATAAAAAATACTATTATTTTAACTTTTAAATGGGAAATAGACATTTTTATACATGGGTAAACTAGCACATATTTATATATTAAAGTTTTAGGGTTTAGATATGAAAATACATAAAAAAATGAGTGTAATGAGTGTAAAATCTTCATTTACGAAGCCTGGTATTTGAGAAAAATTAGCGTACGTCCGTACGTATGTAGGTAGGTTACAGGGAGGGTAGTGAGGGTTATATCAGCGTTATACCCCTGTAATCTCCTTATAACTTATCTGTAACCTTACCTGTAACTTACAAATATATGAAAACAGAAGCGCGAAACTTACTAGTTACAGGTAGGTTACAGGAAGAATATAGGGGGTATACCGCAGATATAACTCTCAATACCCTCCCTGTAACCTACCTGCAGCGTTGCGTAATTTTTCTCCTAGTACTTGGATATAGGGCTTGAAATATTTGTGTTAGCGTAAAATCTATGGCACTTGGATGGATTGTTGATGACAAAAAATCAGCCATTAAAAGGTTGAATTGTTTATTTATATAATAAATAAATAATTAAAAGGCTTTATTCAGTTGATACTTTCTTGAAATATGCCGATTTTGCATTTTCATCCTTGTTGTTTCGATCAAATACATGAAATAGCACATAAATCTGCTGCCCCTTCGTACTATTGTCCAGCTTCTAGTTCACGCATTTTAAATACCATCATTAGAACACCAATCTCTTTCTTGCATAAAAGAGGTTTCTACTCTCTATCAGTCTTCAAGTGGCGCATAATTTTAGAATGCTTCCTAATGGCGGTGAAATTATTTTGTTTTGCTGTTTATTTTATTTTTTAGGGGGGGAATTTACGTACATACCACACAATTCTTGTATATTTACATATCTAACATCCTATGTTTTCATATTTGTTACCAGCCACCGAAATTATGACTATTTCTAACATTGTAAAAGTATAATACAACTTTTGATGGGTATGTTTTTAACGTCAAAATGTTATAAATGTAAATATTAAATTTTAGACATTAGATATGTAAGAAGGGCATGAGAAGCATGTAGCATGTATGCAAGGAAATAATTTGCTTTGGTTTTTATTTTGGTAGAGATTATATTGTGGTCCACAATGTTGTGGTGGATGATCATAATTTTGGTAGTGACGCCTTTTCTGTTTCTTCGGCTGTTAGATCTGGTCACCGGTTTTTCATCCCAATCAATTTTTTTAGCTGCACTAATTAAGGCCTTTTGGAGAACATTTTACGACCCGCCAATCATCAGGTGTCATGTCATCATACATGTAAGTAGGGCTGTCAAAACGGCTCGTTGTTCGCGAACAGCTCGTGTTCGGCTCATTAATTTCGTTTGATAAATTAATGAGCCGAACACGAACTAAGATGTGTTCGTTCGTGTTCGGCTCATTTTGGCTCGAAATACAACTCATCAAGTTTATATATATATATTAAGTAATATTTAAAAAAAAATCTAATTGAATACAAGGCTACAAAGATTATAATCAATTAAGATGGATTGAGAAAATAGAATAAAAATTATTAAATTAGATTCAAATGATATTTTAATATAAATAATAATTTTTAAATCTTGCTCGAACCCTTATTGTCTTATGACTACATGATTAAGATTATTAAAATGATTCTTTATTTATGAACAACTCGTGTTCGGCTCGTTTGCTTAACAAGCCGAACACGAACACACTTTTTGAGCTCGAAATATGTCTTGCTCGTGTTCGGCTCGTTTACACCCCTACATGTAAGTGCCAGACCTAACACCTTATAATTTACCATCCCGACAGTGCGGACATAATATTTTTTCTTTCTTTTGAGAGCATATTTGTATGCAAATTTCAGGCTATAAAATTTAACATGCGTACTTCTAGTTGTTTCATTACCTTCTCAAAATTAATGTCACACGAAGCTGTCACAAGATTAATGTCATTTTGCATACATATTAGCAATATTTTGCTTAATTTTATTCATATTACGTATTCACACTTTAGCCTATGACATAGAAATGATTTTTACATAGAATACCCTTTAAATATCGAATCAACTATCATATTTACTGAAATAATTTCATCATAGAAACAGTTTAATCTGACCAATAAAGTCGATGCAGCAAAACTTGATACATACCAGCCAATTCCCACATTTACAAACCTAGTACCAAAACTTTATTTTTTTTACATTTAAACCACTCAAATCATTCATATCACATAAAAAATACCACCATTTAACTTCAAAAAAAATAAAAAAAAAAAAAAAAATCAAGCTCCATCTAATGCAAAAATAAAATAAAAACAGGTGTTAAATGCATGAATCCATGAGTTCAGTAAATACTGCATTCCTTTACCCCTTTTTTCTTTTCTCCTCAAATCCAGCTGCCATATTTTTAAGGCAAATCCAGCTACCAAAACTCAAAGATTCTCAAAACAAAAAAAAGGGAGAATCAAATCAAAAGCTATTCAAAACTCGCCTCCCACCATCTTCTAACTTATCACTGCTCTCTGACATAATGATTTCCATGTCCCTCGTATCCTTCTTCAACACGTTTCCCAACCTCGCAATTGCCTCTGTCTGTTGCTGTAACACCTACGCAGTCAACGAGCAAAGTAATAAGGCATGGATTATAAGAATAATGATATGAAAGATTTACAAATGTATCACTCAATTCATACCTATTCACATACTTAAAAACAACTAGACCTCTATTTTTACATACATGCTATATTTCAATTTTTTGAAGTTTGAATGAGCGTATTTTTTGATGTTATATGAAAGGTTGGGGTGGTCTTTCAGTGTTACATAAATGTATCAAAACTGGGTGGTATGCATGTAAATGCCCCTAAATAATATGCCACGGATGAAGATGACTCAAAACTTTAATATCACATCAAAAATATTATTATCATTAAATTTTAAATTGAAAAAGAATTTTTTTATGCATAGATTTTTTATACCAAGGTGATATTAATATAATATCAAACTTTGGGTGTTAAATATGTAAATATATAAGAATTGTATGTTATGCATGTAAAATTCCCGTCAATGGAATCACAAATTCATGCCCAGGCTCTGAAATGCATTCCCGTCAATGGAATCACAAATTCATGCCCAGGCTCTGAAATGCACAACACGTTACGGGAAAATATATTACATCAGGACTCCGAGTGGATTGGGAGTCCACCCAACTATTTATCTTAATTAAATACATGAAAATTAAAAAATTATGATGCAAATCTACACCATATAATGATGAGGCAATCTTTAATATTTTAAAATATATAAATAATAAAATGTCCAATCTAATTTGTGTTCTATATTTTTCAACAAATTTTGTGTGCTGCTATGTTCATGTCTATTTGAGTATCAGTGATCATTCATCATAGGTGGGTTTCAATGCAATGGAGTAAAGTTTCAGAATAGTCCTCTGGCTATTTACATGTGGTCATGTTTATAAAATGTTAAATTAGTCACCAAACTCTTTTAATGAAGGCTAAAGTAGTCGTCACTTTGAGACTATTTCAACCAATTTTATAAGTATCTGGGGACTAAGTTGACATCTGAAAAAGTGTCAGGGAAGCATTTTGACAGTTTTCTCCAATATAATGGGTGTGCTTTTCTTACCTCTTGTAAGTCTGCAAGGCTTTGTTCATCAATTTTGACAGAACCGAGATGATAGCTAGTTCCGATGCCACCGCCATTGGCTTGCACTCGAGTTATAGATAGCAGATTATGAACCTTCCTGGACAGCTCTCCTCCTGGTCCCTTAATCTAAAGGCAACATTAAATACATGGTTAGGTTTTGAATGAGAAGAGAAGAACCCCAAAAGGAAGTAATGAAGGAACAGAGACCTGTCTTAGTATGGAATCAAACTTATCAGCCAGCTCTAGTTCATCTTTCATCAAAGGCATTCGTAGGCCTCTGCCCTCCAATGCTTCCACTATTCTCACAACCTTTGATCCAAAGGTAGAGCATCTGTTAATATTTTAATACAAAAACATGAAGGAAAATTGTGGCTAAGCGACGATGGAATTTAAATCCCACCCTCAATAGACGCCTTTGAAGGCATTGCTCTTTCTGCTGCAACCTCTGGACCCAAGGAAATACATCTGCTTGGATATGCCTTTGAAGCTGTTTTATAGACAAAGGGATAAGAGACAAAAGAAGAGTTCAGCCAGAAAAATAATAATAATAATTGTAAAAATAATTAAATAAAAAATAAAAAACCGACAGGAAAACCTCTTTGACATTAGATTGTGTCTTCTGCAACCTTTCTGCATCCGAAACAATAGTTTCATCCTGAATCTGTGACAATAGAAATGGTATGATGATGATAGAACATTTCGGATTACAAAAAGTTTGAAATAGAACCAATATAAAAAATCATAAAACGAAATCTTTCTGCTATATAGTAAAGGTTTGAACCTGAGCAGAAATGACATGAAAAGCTTCGTTGTAGATATGTTTAGACAATCACATCAATACGCTATAAAGTAAAGGATGACTGCAAGTGCCAGAATTCTGCCATTCATTTTTGTCATACTCATTATTTTTTCATTCTATGTACTTCAGGATGGATTTGGTAAATCTTTGGTATTGGTGCAAAATATTTAGATTACTACCAATTTTATGAATGACTGGAGGTTTCTTATATCAATAGACCCTTAAACTGATATTATTCAGCTCATGAGATTAGATGAGCAATGAGAATAATTTTCCCAACCCTCATGCATTGGTTGACTACTATCTCTGCGCAACACCCAATTTTAATCCTCTTTTTTAATACCCTGATAACGCAATGTTAAAAGGAAAAGATACGGGGAGAGCAAATAAAGACTTCAAAGAGATAATAATGAGAGCGAGAGAAAATAATATATAAACAAGGACAGTAAGCAAGAACCTCAGTTAAGAGCAAATCGGAGAAACAACCCTCGACATCTAACTGAGAATCGGAGACGAAATCGGTGAGAAGATGGAGACATAGAGGGAGCATTGAAGTCGCAGGCAAAATTAGGAGTGGCGACAAGCGTGAACTTGAGTAGAGAGAAAAATGAGGAGGAGAAGATAGAGACTAAGCGATCAGCATTGCGGGATGAACCAAATCAAGTAAGGGAGGGCAACGGCGAGCTTATGTTCGACTTTCGACATTGAAAAACTAAGGCAAGTGGGAGGAGATGTCGTCAAAAAAGCTAGGACAAGATGAGGACGACGAACACTAGCGAGCGAAGCAAAAGGTGGTGACGTCGTGAGAGCTTTGGGGAAGATAGGGAAGGCCTTTCCGTGCAAGTTTTCATGCTGGTTCAAGGCGTTCAACAACACTAAGACTTGAATATAGAGGTTAGAATTATTTTATTATTTTTTATAAAATTTAAAAGAAATGAGAAATTGTTATAATATAAATATTTTTAGAGATTTTAAAGTATGTTGAGTTGATAATTCATAACTAATATTACCCTTTGTAAATTCAGAATGATCCATATTTTAATAATAATAAAAATAACAAATTGAAATGGCTTATTAAAAGTTAAAGAAATAATTAGTAAATATTAATAATGAATTAGGAATAAAAAATTATAATGAAAGCTATATTAAATAAGATTTAGAATAAATAAGAAAGTAGAATTATATATTTAATACTGTTACTAGAAGAATATAACATAAATAATATTAGAATGTATATCTTAGATTGTGTTTTATTCATAGGAATCATTACAATGACCTGAGATCAATATCACGTGAAATTGTGGAATAACACTGTAAATCTATTTAATGAGTACTCTTGTTTTTTATCTTAGTAGTACTTACATTTTTTCTCAAACAATTGCATTGATGGTTATTGATACCTGTAAAATAATGACTATCATACATTAGTTAATGAGATATATATATATATATATATATGTATGTATGTATATATATGTATGTATGTATGTATGTATGTTTAAAAAACTAACCGAAGGGCGGACCCCTTCCAGTCCATATGCTAATAAACCTATGTATGTATGTATGTTTAAAAAACTAACCGAAGGGCGGACCCCTTCCAGTCCATATGCTAATAAACCCTAAACCCTATGTATGTTTAAAAAACTAACCGAAGGGCAGACCCCCTTCCAGTTCATGTGCTAATTCGAATCTACCCTTAAGGGCTAGGATTCGAACCCCCGACCCGAGAGTCTTACGCCGAAGCCGTTACCAATGGGTCATGGCTTGCGCGCACACGTGAGCGCCTGCCACACACACACACACACACACACACACACACACACACATTGAATGAGATGAGCATATGAATAATATGGGTTATATAAACTACTTGTGTGTGTTTGTTGATTATGATAAAGTTCAACCCTTTATAGTACTAGCAAAGAACACTAAAGTAGTCGTTCGAGTAATTAAAAAGAAATATTAATATTAATGTATCTTAATTGACACAATTTTATATGATGTTAATTTAACGGTTGTATAGATTTAAAATGATATAGATATATTATTGATATAGTAAAAACACATTGGTGTTTTGAATTATCGTGAACAAACATATAAAAAAAAAAAAATCAACTATCTAATATTTTTATATTGATTTATGACTAACATGCATATTATTTCTTTTCATTACGTAGTTGTAGTTTAGATCTGCACTCACTGACTTGTGTAACTCACTATTATTTTAAATTAACTTCCCAAGTTTAAGCTTTTGTGTAAAGGAGTAATAGAAATAAAAATGTTTATAAAAGAAAGACGAACTGAACTAAGATAAATATAATTATATTTACATTCTTTAGTAACCCATTCAATTTATTTGGGTTATAAATTGTTATAGAAAATGAAAATAAAACTTTTTTTAATATCAACATCCGACTCGCTCTTCTCGTCTTAAAAAAATTTGAAGACCCGAGTCGTCCCATCTTCAAAAAGTTTGATTATAATTTTTTTTCTTATTTAATCTAAATCTTATTTAATATAGTTTCCATTATAATTTTTATTCCTAGTTTATTATTAATATTTACAAATTAACTTTTTAACTTTATTCCTAATACATTATTTAACTTTCTTTGTAATGACCCAGTCAAAGACTTAAAAATTTCTTAAGACGGAAGCATATATTTGGACAGTAACAATCAAACTTTCTTTTATTTTCATATTTTTATCAATAACAATTTATAGCTCTAATGAATTAAAAGAGCTAATAAAGAAAATAAATTAAAATATACTAAAATTTATCTTAAGTCAGGTTGTTTGTCTTCTATAAATATGTTTTATCTATATTGTTCATCTCTACACAAAAAGCTTAAACCTGAAAAAAGTGAATTTAAAATAACAGTTAGCTACACAAATTAGTACACCTATTTCTAAACTACAGTAACGTAATAAAAAGGAAATAACATGCATATTAATCAAAAGTATTATAAATTAATAAAAAAATATTATATAATTTATATGTTTTTAATTATGATTGTTCACCATAATTCAAATCACCGAATGTGTTTCACTAAATCAACAACATAATTATATCACTTTATATTTATACAAACTTCTTAGAAAAATCATTTAAAATTATATCAATTAAGATACATTAATATCAATATCATTTTCTAATTATGTGTATGGTTATCTTAATGTCATCAATTATTACTATAAAATGTGAACTCCATCATAGTCAGCATGCACATATAAGCAATCTATTTAACGGGTATTATTGATATGCTCATCTAATTCAATTGAATATATATGTATATATCATTAACTAATGTGTCATAATAAATATTGCTATAACCCCATAACATTCAAAACAATGTGAGCAATAAGGAAAAGAGCATATAAATTAAAATAAAATTATGTAAATTAATTTATAGGTATTAATAACTATCAATACAATTACTTGAGAAGAAATAAAAGTACTATTATAGATTAAAAAATCAATATACTCACCGAATAAATTTGCAATTGTTATTTCACAATTTCACCTGTGACGTTGACTTCGAACCATTGTAATGATCTTATGAAGAAAACATAATCTAAAATATAAATTCTAATATTATTTATTAAAAAATAAATAAATATATATATGTGTGTGTGTGCGAGTGCAACCGGTAGCCTGTTGGATGACAGTTTCAGCGTAAGTCCCTTTTGTCCCAGGTTCGAATCCATTTGGGTCGAAATAGCAATGTATGGGATGGACAAACACATGTTGCCGTCCATCTTTTAATATATATATATATATATATACACATTAAAAACCCAAATATATATATTCAATTAACATATTGTTCAAGTAGAATTATTAATCTTATAATTTATTTTCTTATTAATCTAAATCCTATTTAATATAGTTTTCATTAAAATTTTTATTCTTAACTCGTCTTTAATATTTATTATATATTTCTTTAAATGTTAAAAAGTTATTTCAAATTATTATTTTTATTAGTAGTATTAAAATATGTATCATTCTAAAATTATGAAGAGTAATATCAGTTATGAATTATCAACTCAACATAACTAAAATTTATAATAATATTTATAACCAGCTCTCATTCTTTTAATTTGTTAATGAAAAAATATAATAAACTAATTCTAAGATCACAGTTCAAGCCTTCATGCTGCCGAAAACGTTGAACCCGCATAAAAATTCACACAAAAAAGACTTCCCTATCTTCATCAAAGCCTTTACGCCAGCACCTCCAACTTCGCTCGCTAGCATCATCGTCCTCGTTAAGCCCTAGCTTGCTCGTCATCTCCTCCCACTCGCCACAGTTTGTCGAGGCTAAAAGTCGAACATAAGGTCATCTTCGCCCTCCCTTACTTGATTTGGCCCATCTTGCAATGTTAATCCCTCGGTCTCCATCTACCTTGCCTCCATGTTCTCTTTGCTCCACCTTCGTCTTCAATCAGCTCCACCTCCGTCTTCTCTCTGCTCAAGTTCACGCTCTTTGCCACTCCCGACTTTGTCGGTGGCTTCGATGCTCCCTCTACAATCTCCATCTTATCACTCATTTAATCTATGATTCTCAGTTTGATGCCAAGGATTGTTTCTTTGATTTGCTCGTAATTGAGGTTCTTGCCTTTTTGTCGTGATCTCCTATGACCTCCTCATAGTCTTTATTGGCTCTCCGTGTTTCTTTCTCTCCCTTGCCTCCTCTTAATGGTTGATTTGACTCCTTTGAAGTGTAATTGTGGCGTTACTAGGGTATTAAAACAGGATTAAAAGCAGGTGTTACAAACTCTCTTTACCTTATCTCAGTTAGGAACTGATTCTTTCCTATATATTTTTACCATTCCATAATAATTCTCTCTTTCCAACTTATCTC